CCCAAGTTGTAATGATGCACATGTGTATATTAGGTATGGCAGACATACACCCTGTGTTGGGGGGGCGGGAGAGCCTGCCCCCCCCCCCCCCCGCCTATTTTTAGACCAACCTGGGGCCCGAAGGGCCCAAAAAATTTTTGGGATACTGGGCCTTCCCCCCTCCCCCCCCCCCACTTATCTCAGGGTCTGGATCCATAACCCCTAAGAGGACCTCATTAATTTGTCTGCCATCTTGAAAGCAGGATTTCCAAGGGTCCCTTCTCTCTTCTCCCTTTTAATCAAACCCTACTACCACTATGCATGTTACACAGAGGACTGGCAGTAACTGAGTCAGTAAAAGGGTTTCATTGAAGAATTGTTTGTGAAGAGATTCAACTGCATCAATTATTGCAGATTTTATCAACTGATGCCAGATATATTTGGACACGGCATCCCGATGTCAGTTTTTAATTTTTTCAGAATATACTTAAAGGGCCATGGACTACCTGTAAACTATATAGCTGATTAAACTAAGCTAAGGCCTATTTCAAACATTGCCATGCTGAACTCAATTGAGTGAATTAAATGCGACTTTAGCAGCACAACTGTAGCGTGATGTTTGAGACCAAGTCGTGCTACTGCCGTGTAGCAAGCCTCGCCTTGCTACACAGCAGTAGCTCGACTTGGTTTTAGACGTCATGCTACTGCTGTGCCAAACTCAATTCATAAATCGTAAATACATTAGAATACATTTAGAAGTCTCAGCGTGCAAAGAAAGTCGTGTCCGATAGCCCGGGGCTAGTGGATTTTGCTGTCGGGCTAGTGATTTTTGTTCTTAACTTGCCCGATGGGTAAGTGCTGCTTTGAGGGGAAATTCAAATTACAGAAGGATTGTAATCAATCCTGCTAATCAAAAAAGGTTTTCGGGCTAGTTGAAATGACTTGTGGGCTAGTACATGCTAGCTACAGCTTGCCCGAATGGCAGGCTGTAAAACTGACTTTCTTTGCACCCTGAAGTCTGCTAAACCATTTCTTTATTTTTGTGCTTTGTTTTCGGCAACAGCCGTTCTAATTCGACTGAATTAAATTCGATATCTGAAACCAAGTCGTGCTGGTGTCATAGTGCTATGCTGCAGTCGAGCTACAGTCGAACCAGCTTAGCAAGGCAGTAACACGATGTTTGAAACAGGCCTAAACTCCACATTAAATAAAGTATCTTATGTTATCTTATCATTACCAACCTTTCTACAGATGAAGGATTAAGAAATGAATTCCATGCTACTTCTCGAACTCTGCATGGAGAATTTATCTTTCCAATTAGGCTGCAGAGTTCATTATCAATTTTGTAAAACTCGCTAGCATTTCCAAAGTGCTTAATGGAAATTCGTTCATCATTCCACAAGCTGTGAGCTCTGGTCTTCCAATCTTCACTTGTTGCAGTAACTTTCTTGTGTCGCAATTTAACATTTCTTTCTAAAATCCCCCGGCAAATAGATTTATTGTGACCAAAGCAAACAGGACATTCATTGAGGCCAATTTCATCAATGGTAAGCCAAACATCAGTTACTTCGTAGCGGAATCCAAAGTCTATTATATTGTATCTGCTGCGTAGTTTTGCTAACCACACAAAAAGAAATACTGTACCGAAAAGAAGGAGTAAGAGGTATGAAGTAGTTCGCCATCGTTTCGGCACAAAAAATGCCAATATTATTCGCCACATTTGATCAGCATTTCGGAAGGTGCAGTAAGATCCCGTCCCGCCACGATCGGCTTATGAAGAAGTTATTTACGTTCCCGATCCAACCAAAACAAACTTCCAACGGGAGAAATAACCAGTCAGGTAAAGTAATCAAAGTTTATGTCGTCCAAGGTGAAAAAGAAAGAACTGAAAAGGCACGATCGTCCGTGAAATCCGTTTCAACAAGGCGCTAGTTTACATGAAGTCGAGGCTGTTTCAGAAAACACCTGTGTACATTACTGTCGGTTTGATTAATTTCCAAGTCAACTTGAAATAATAATCATTTTGTCGGAATAATGTTGTGATTAAAATGGCTGCCAGTGTCGGGCAGGATTTTTCTAGGAGTAAAGAACAACTTACAGATGGCGATGGTGATGGCGATGAAGATGATGACGAGGAAATATTAGATCCGCGAGTTAAGGTAGAGAAAGGCTACAGAACTGATAACAACTCTTGGTCTTTTAGAATTAAAAAGTTAGGATTACTGCTACAGTGGCGGGGAGTCAGATATATTTTTGCTTTTTGGATCGCGTTCATCATTGAATCTATTTTTTTCACCATTCAGGGCGAACTCGACCGGCTGAACTCCTCAACCGCAGAGATCAATCGTTTGGAACAAGACCTCGAGGTATACGTATTGTATACTCTAGTTGCTAGCATTTGGTCCGTGTTTAATATTTTAGGGATAAACAATACCGAGCTTATGTTGTCCCCCTTACTGGAGGATGAATACGTCATATTTTGACGGCAATGTTTTTGTTGTAAGCTCAAGTGCTATTTTAAACTCTTTTAAAATGTTGTTAGAAGGATTATATTGGTGTTATTTAATAGAGAAGAAATCGATCAATTCACATGTAAATGAAGATGCATTATGTGGGCAAGCTTTTGTTTGAAATAATCCTCTTAGTGTGTGCCTTAAAGCTTAGAGAGCAGAAGTGGGCGATTTCAGGAAAAAAATCCTGCTAACAGACATCAAGAACTAAAGGAAAAATTATTTCATTGTGTTAAAATTCTTACATTTCGTAATAGAGGAGTTCACGCTCATAGTTGCATCAGGGGTTAAATCAGAGCAAGATGGCGGGAAATGAGAAGATTTGTATTAGAATTCAAAGCCAGCTAATTCTTCCTGAATTCGTATATTTGATGCTTTCTCTTTGAAAAGAGTAACTTACGAGTTCAAAGAAACAATACACTAAATCTGGAGTGCAAAGAAGTCTGTGATCAGTTTTAAGAAAACCTCAATTTTTCCATACATTTTCTGTAATTTTGATACTGTCAAATTACAGAAAATGTATGGGTAAATCAAGGTTTGGCTCATGAAAAGTTTGGCGTCTGACCCAGGCCTCTGGGGGGTTACGTATGTCCCAAGTCTGAAATATTTTAAAGCCTTTCGTTTCATGTATATTTGAGGAAAAAGGCATGTCACTGTCGGGTTTTTTCTATTGTATTTGCTCTTTTGTCTGATCAACCCATCTTTTTGTCATTGGTTGTTATTTCTGCTGTCTTATGTCACTGTTTCAAGGCCATATTGCTTGTCGGAATTTACCCTAACAGGGCCTCGAGCGGAAAGTTATGAAAATTTGGAGAAACAATGGGAAGGGAAGGGGCTCTAGCATTATTCAAGAATCTTTTAATCACATATCTAAATCTTGTAAGAGTTGTACAAGTCAATGATAAAAACTCTGATGATCCCAGTTTTTGCTTTTACCGTATTTATTCAAATAAGCGCCCAACCTCGAATCAGCGCCCACCTCAGATAAGCGCCCATCCTAAAGGCGGAAAAAGTTAAAGGGACAGTGTCCCGATTATGCGCACGCACGAGCGTCATCTGTTTTTTCGTCCGAAGACAATGGAACTGTCATATTGACTCGACAAGATTTCCCTCCGGACCGCACTGCCGACGGAGATTTGTTGTTTATATTCTCAAGTAATATTTTAGACTTTCGAAGAAGTCTTTCGTCTTATATAAATATTTGGCTCGCGGTTCAAAGACTCATCGCGATTTTATCGCTAGCTGGGCCGCCTTGCGACCCCAAAATCTCGTTTCGCTCGCTTTAAAAACATATTTTCAAATTTGAAACTCGTGTCAGAGGTCAATTGTGCCAAGTCCAGTAATATCTGCCTGATTTGCTCGCGTTCTAGCCTCAAACATTGAAAGACATTAAAAAAAATGCAATCTTAACGCTATGAATCATCACAAAGGTTAGTCAAAAATTATATTATGATTTCAGGGCACTAGTTTTTCTAAACATGTAGCGCCTGTTTGTTTGATTTTGTCGGCCGTAGGGAGATTCATTTAAAAGTTTACTAACGTGTCCTTGCAAGACATTCTGCTTCGCGAAGCTCCCCTCCACAAGATCTCCTCAGTCACATCAATGTCTCAATGGTTTCTTTCTTAGAGTCTTTATTGTTGCTGTTTCATTTCTGCGTATTCCTTTCACAATTATCTGAGCTTGTATGGAAGCTAGCAGAAGAAATAAGCCTTCAATCGGCGTCAAAGTGCTTCCAATCTTTTGGTCCTCTGGCCAACGGCAATAAAAGTAATGCCATAAAATCCAGATTTTGCCCAAATCGAAACTTAACCGGAACAATATATCACTGATCTGTAATCCTGAGAAGTTTAATTGTCGTATTGAACCCAGCCAAGTGCGATGCAAACGGATTTTTCAAGGTCCCCTACTCTCCTCGCATCTTTTGATTTCGCGACATCCTGTCCAAAAATCGAAGTTTGGTGCATGCGCAGTAACGGGATACTGTTCCTTTAATAAGCACCCACCCTTGAATAAGTGCCCACCCCCTACTCCTCCCAATCAAACTCAAATAAGCGCTCACCCCACCCCACCTCACCCCACCCACTTGAGTGAATAAATTCTAATAAGAGACTTCTAATAAGAAACCTTGCTTTGTTACTTCTTCAAGTTCTGTTATTAGCATTTATTGTTTTGTTACAAAATAAACATAATTCACTTGCTGAAAATGGTGAAAATCTTATAAGCGCCCAGCCTCGAATAAGCGCCCACTCTCAAGGTCCAAAAATTTAATAAGCGCCCAGGGTGGTTAATCGAATAAATACAGTACGTTAATATCAATAAATGACTTAAAAAAGAAAAACATTTATATTTATAATTTATAGATTTTTTATGGGTAAAATTAATGGAAAAGTGTCAAAGATGTAGAAATGAATACTCTTCTTCATAATCAACTATCTTCAGGAGCTACGAGCAACATTCAGGCAGACCCTGACAGAATCAGCATACGTTCTCAAGAGTCAGTCGGCCTTTCTGGGAAACTGCGTCAAACAAGCACGACCATATTATGATGCTGTGCGCAAAGCAAAACAGGTTTGACAATTGTGATAATATTATGATAAATTAAATCTAAAAGCAGTGAATACAGGTCACTAGGTTCCCGTGGGATCTTTAACATAACCTGACAGATTTTTGAAGGATCTTAGTTGGATCCTAAACAGATCAAATCTTAAAGAAGATGTTGGCAGAGATTTTGCTGTTAGGATCTTAGCATCAGGACCTGAACATCGATGAAATCGATAATTGATGGACAATCGATCACGAAATTTTTTGAGATTATTGATTATCATCGATTATCAATATCAATCGATAATCGATAGGAATCGATCAATTAACATAATAGATAGTTATCAATATGCAATATCAATCGACTACCTATTCAGTCAAACATTTCAATTTTCAATTTCATCGAGTACTTAAATAAAGTTACACATTTTGATATCATTGCTTTTTATTTAGTAAAAACTGGCGGGTAGCAATGCGTAAACTTGTTTATTCACCCACACGTTTCGCACGAGTTTAAGATTCATACAAACGTACTACGGATATGTGTGTAAGAAAAACAAACCCCACTGTTATGCTTATATGCTTCAACGAAACAGCTGGCAAATTAGGCAAGGTGTGAATTATTTTATGCGTGATGTAACGTTTGGAGCCAGTTTAGCTAAGTATTCGTAAAATATGTTTAATTTAATGCACACATTTCTGTTATGTGGGCGTCTGCACAGACATATAAAGAAAGAAGAAAAATAAATAACAATGATCTTAATCGTGTTTGAACGACGACTACGTCCCAGGTCAGTTGAATCTTTGCAATGAACTCGAACCTTAATCGATCAAGTTTGTACTACTGACAATGAGATATGTTAATTGTCTTAATTATTTGTGCTGTTTTTCACGGAGCCACATCGATGAACAATTCTCAAACTTAAATGCTATTGAGGTTTAAAAATAATATACGATCTACGTACACTCCCGCGATACCTGAAGATACGGAGACATGAATTTAGTGCCAATCGATGGCAATTGATGAAATTCGCGACCACCTAAATGTGATTATTGATTGATCATTGATTGACCGATGCCAATCAATGCTAATCAGCAGTAATTAATCGATTGTCATCGATTGATCGATTGATTTTCTGATCATCGATTTTCATCGATTGTTCAGGTCCTGTAGCATCCTGTTGGCGGTCCGGTGAGATCTTTAACATAGGGACTTGGACATGCAGGAACTTCGTAGAATTTTGAACAGGATTTGAAACAGGATCTTGGTTGGATCCTAACAGGATTTTAAACAGGGTCATGGTTGGATCCTAAAGGGATTTTAAACATGATCTTGGTAGGTTTCTAACAGGATCCTTAGTACTATTATCCTATAGGTTTCTGTGAGATCTTAACAAGGACCTTATATTGGACAGGATAATTCTTGCAAGATCTTAGTTGGATCCTAACAGGATTTTGCAGGATCTTAAATGGTTTAAGTACAATATAGCATTCTCTAGGTTCCAGTATGTAAGAACTCAGCGATTTTATTTTAATGGGGATGATTTTTTCAGTCACGGATTGAGACTCAGAACGCAGCTTTGAAATATGAGAGAGCTTGTAGCTCACATCAAGCAGCCAAGAAAGTTTTGGCAATGGCTGAGCAGAAACTAGTTTCCACATCCAAGGAACATAAAGTGCTGGACCCAACATGGCAGGAAATGCTGAATCAAGCTGTACTTAAGGTTTGAATCCCCATTTAGATATGTTTCTTTCATTATTTAAGTTAACTTTTGACATTTAAACTTAAGCTTCAATTACCTTCTGAGGAAGCATCTTCCTGACAAACAAGCCTGTATTGCATTTTAATTAGCATTAGATAGACGTGCTATGGTTTGCCTGAGTACTATAGTGTCTTCCATTTCTGAGTTAAAAGAATGTAATGTAACATAATGTAATGTAATGTAACGTCATGTAACGTCATGTAATGTAATGTAATGTAATGTGTTCATTAACTGTAATATAACAGTTATATAATTGTCATATAACTGTTGTATAACTGTTATATAACAGTTATATAACTGTCATATAACAGTTATAACTAGTATATATAACTGTTATATGACAGCTATATATAACCGTTATTATATAACTGTTATACAACAGTTATATAACTGTTTGTCAGTTTTACTGTGATATAACTGTTATATACAGTATATATATAACTGTTATATAACAGATATATATAACTGTTATATAAGTGTTATATAACTGTTTGTTATAACTGTTATATAACAGATATATATATAACTGTTTGTTATAACAGTTATATATAACTGTTATATAACAGTTACATTACTGTGTAATATAACAGTTATATAGCTGTTATATAACAATATATATAACTGTTATATGACAGTTACATAACTGTTATATAACAGTTATATATACTGTTATATAACAGTATATATAACTGTTATAACAAACAGTTATATAACTGTTATATATCACTAATATAACTGTTATATAACTGTTGTTATATAACAGTTAACTGTGCAATAAATGTTGTTATATAACTGTTATATAACACTTATATAACTGTCATATAACAGTTATATATAACTGTTATACAACAGTTATATAACTGTTATATAACAGATACAAATAACTGTTATATAACAGTTATATAACTGTTTGTTATAACAGTTATATAACTGTTAAATATATAACAGTATATATAACTATTATATGACAGTTATATAACTGTTATAACAAACTGTTATATGACAGTTATAAAACTGTTATAACAAACAGTTATATAACTGTTGTTATATAACTGTTATATAACAGTTATATAACTGTTATTTACAGTATATATATAAAACTGTTATATAACAGATATATAACTGTTATATAACTGTTTGTTATAACAGTTATATATAACTGTTATATAACAGTTACATAACTGTTTAACATAACAGTTATATAGCTGTTATATAGCAGTATATATAACTGTTATAACAAACAGTTATATAACTGTTATATAACAGTTATATACAGTTATATTACTGTTATATAACAGTTATATAACTGTCATATAACAGTTCTATATATATAACTGTTATATAACTGTTTGTTATAACAGTTATATAACTGTTTGCTATAACAGTCATATAACTGTTATATATATATAACAGTATATAGAACTGTTATATGACAGTTATATAACTGTTATATAACAGTAATATAGCTGTTGTTATATAACAGTTATATAACTGTCCTATAACATTTATAACTGTTATAACAGTTATATACAGTATATATAACTGTTATAACAATTAAGCAATAGAAAACGTTTTCCATGTTTGCATAGCCTGATATAAACACGAGAGGGGTTGGGAGAATTCGAAACAGTTATGCAAACCCGAGACGAAGTCGAGGGTTTGCATAACTGTCGAGAATTCTCCCAATGCCTCGAGTGTTTATATCAGGCTATGCAAACACAGGAAAAAAGTTTTCTATTGCTTTTATAAAATAACTTTCCCGAGAAAAATCTGATTAAAAGAGAAATTCTTACCAGTCGCAAAATCTTGTCCACGAAGTCTTGCACGCGTAATCAGCTCTTGTTTTGGAAAAAGATGCTTTGCAAAATACGGATTTTTGTCGCTTAAAATGTCAGCTTAAGCGAAGAAAAATTGACTCACCTTCTTTGTAACGATTTTCCATGTTTCAGCAGACAAAGGAATGGGTAAATAAAGTAAACTTGTCGAGTTTTGAACTCGAAAACTTTTTCAAATTCGTGCTTGCGTGATAAGCGCGCGAAAAGATAAACAACTTGACGCCACAACCATGTTTACATACTCTCATGCAAACACTCCTCTCGGCCAATCAGAGCGCGCGTACTATCTTAGTTATTTTATAAACAGTTATATAACTGTTATATAACAGTTATATACAGTTATATTTCTGTTATATAACAGTTATATAACAGTTCTATATATATAACTGTTATATAACTGTTTGCTATAACAGTCATATAACTGTTATATAACAGTTATATAACTGTTTGTTATAACAGTTATATAACTGTTTGTTACAACAGTTATATAACTATTATATAACTGTCATATAACAATTATATACAGTATATATATATAACAGTTATAACTTTTTGTTATACTGTTATATACAGTATATATATATATATAACTGTTATATAACAGTTATATAACTGTTATAAATGTAATGTAATGTAACGTCATGTAATGTAATGTAACGTCATGTAACGTCATGTAATGTCATGTAACGTCATGTAAAGTCATGTAACGTCATGTAATGTAATGTAATGTAATGTAATGTAATGTAACGTCATGTAACGTCATGTAATGTAATGTCATGTCATGTCATTTAACGTCATGTAATGTAATGTAATGGAACGTCATGTAATGTAATGTAACGTCATGTAACGTCATGTAATATAATGTTATGTCATATAACGTCATGTAATGTCATGTAACGTCATATGATGTCTTGTAATGTAATGTAATGCAACGTCATGTAACGTCATGTAATGTAATGTAATGTAACGTCATGTAACGTCATGTAATGTAATGTAACGTCATGTAATGTCATGTAACGTCATATAACGTTACATGACGTTACATGACAGTTATAACAACTCCAAATAGAAATAAGTAAATGTAAATAAAAATTTAAGTGGGGGAGATTTTCTCTGAAACAGGTGTCGTTTTATTCAAGTATGTCAGTTTTCGCATTTTTTCAATTTTCCATTGAGCTAGTACTTTTGTTGCTAGATCAGAGGAATTGGGGGTTTTTCTAACAATTTTGCATTTTAGTAATAATATTTCTGAGTTTGCAGGATCCTGATTTTTTGAAACAGTACTCCCCTTTTTATTTTGTCTCTCACTGTTTTTCTGTTGGAGAATTAACTTCAACTTTGCTTGGTAGGTGATGGAATCTGATAAGGAGCGAGTTCGGAGTGAAAAGGATCACCTACAAACTGCACGTGCATTCTCTGAGGCTGGGAATAAAGTGAAAGAATTAAGAACTAAACTTAAGTCTGCCATCAACAAGTCCAGGTAACCTAGGACCTTAGTAAACTAGAAGTCTCCAAATTGTGTAACAGAATGTTTTTCTTGTTTTGCCTGATTGACAACCTTTTTTGTCCAGCCAGGAGTAAAATCTGTGTCTGTGACATTTTTTTTTTTTTAGGTAGATCTTAATTTCGTGAAGTAGTCTTCATCCAAAATTATATTAATCTTGCAAAAGCCCAGTCAGGATCAGCAGGCTGTCACCCGAGCAGTGTCTCCTCTTCTTCCCTGCCCTGCTTCCTTCCCCTCAGTCCTAGTTTTATACTTTGCCCTCATGCATCTTGTGCGCTTCTCGTACTAAAAAGCTAAGAGGAAATGAAAACAGCTGCTACACAGGCTGACATCAGTTTGGTTGGTGTATAAAACCTTAACATGTATGTAACACGTACAATCAAATCACTCAACTGTCTCCCAGTAGATTTACTCTGAGCTATTTAACTGATGCATCTGTTCATTTCTATTGCAGACCGTATTTTGATTTAAAGATGAAGTATGACTCAATATTAGAGGTATTTACTGTGTTATTCATTTCGCTACGTACTTATTTTATCACCCTCAAATACAGAATACACGATTTTCAGGTGAGCGATGGCAGGCACAAATATAGAGCAACCAGCACCAGTTATGAGACACGTGCGCCTTGCCCCATTGCGCATGTGTTATGTCTGGCACTCCTTGCTCGATATTTAGCTCTTGCCTTCACCATGCTGAAAAATGCACAATAATTGATAATGCCTGTTCTGCAGGCTAACCCTGAAAACCCTTTCCTGGGTGGGCACTTATTTGAAAATGAGTGGGAGGGGTTGGGGTGATGCGCGCTTATTTGAGGCTGGATGCTTATTAACATTTTCTACCTTTAGGATGGGCGCATATTCGAGGTTTGAGGTTGGGTGTTATTCGAATAACTAAGGTACTGTGAAAAAGATACCAAAACCTCCTGATATAAAACATCGCTCTTATATAGTGACTACTGGGGTCTTAAGTTCAGGGTCTTACATCCATTGGTGTTACGTTCGGGGGTCTTATTATCAGGGGTCTTGAATCCAGGCTTCTTACAACAAAAAGGCGTATGGACAAGCAGTCTTCTTACATCCATGGGACTTGCGATCAGGGGTTCTTACATCCAGGGGTCTTACATAAGGGTGTCTTACATCCAGGGGTCCTACAACCAGGGGTCTTACAACAAGAGGTCTTACATCCAGGGGTCTTACAACCAGAGGTCTTACAACCAGGGGTCTTAAAACCATCGGTCTTACAACCAGGGGTCTTACAACCAGGGGTCCTACAACCAGAGGTCTTATAACCAGGGGTCTTACAACCAGAGGTCTTACAACCAAGGGTCTTACAACCATGTGTCTTACAACCAGGGGTACTACAACCAGAGGTCTTACAACCAAGGGTCTTACAACCATGTGTCTTACAACCAGAGGTCGTACAACTATCGGTCTTACAACCAGGGGTCTTACAACCAGGGGTCCTACAGCCTGGGGTCTTACAACCGGGGGTGACGTCACTAAAAACCCATGTTAATAAGGTATAGTGATTGTGTGAGCATGTGATGCGATCACAAACTTTGTGTTCTTAATCAGTTATCCCCAAATCGTGCACTGTATAACCTGGAGTCTTACAACGAAGGGTCTTTTAACCAGGGGTCTTATAGGCGGAGGTCTTACAGCAAGGCATCTTACATCCAGGTGCCCTGCTTTTATGGGTGTTTTGAGTAGGAGTCTTACAACCAGGGGTCTTACATCCAGGGGTGTAACGTTTAGTGATTTTACGACTAGGATTCTTACATCCTGGGGTCTTACAATCATGTTTCTTACGACTAGCGGTCTTACAGCCAATTGTTTTTCACATTCAGGGGTCTTTACATTCTTTTTTCTTCGTCGATGTGTTCTCACAGCCAGGGGAATAAGTGGTCACTATATAACAGCGACGATTTAGATAAGATGGTTTTTGATTTTTTTTTTCGGTATTTGATATGTCGCCTTTTCGCAGCTGCTAATAATGATCCGAATTTACACTTTTTGGTTTGACCAAGTAAGCAAAAAATCGGGATTCTACTGTAATCTCCCTCGACGTTTGCAGTGTTTACAAATGTGCGTCCATTTTTGTTACATCTCCTATGGCGTTTTAATGTATAGGCTCCTTTCTCGGCCCCTCCATGTCGTCAAAGTGAAGGCGTTAGCATTCAAATGTTATTCACCTTGGTCCTCAAAATGGACAGTCTGAAGAGGACTTCACAAAAAACATGGGGCAAGAAACAAAAACAGTGTGCTTGAGGGAGAAAGACAGGCGAGGAGGAGTTCGTATGTCTTTCTTCCTCGTGCGTACCGTTTTTAGAACCCTGCGAGCAGTGGTTTCTCTGGTGCATGGCTTTTAGCGTTTACGGAATCGTTCGCGTGGTTTTTCTGTCGTCTAGTTAGTTTGTTTACGCCCCGTGAGAAATCAACTATGCGACAGACAAGCCACGCGAACGACTCTGTTAACGCTAAAAGCCATGAGAGAGAGAAACCTCTGCTGGCAGAGTACGTTTTGACTGACGCTGGCTGGTAGATATCCCTAAATGGAGGGCTTGCTAGCAGGCTTATAAAATCACAATATTGATGTTTTATTCCTAAGACAGAAACGAAAAGAACACGGAACAAGCCACAGGTGGTCACCATCATTTCCAGTATGATACACCCCTTGGGGAATCTTCTTAAGCGATATGTTTTCTCAGGTTTTGACATGCTTTTCTTTTTTGTCCAGGAACATAAGCGACAAGTTGAGTTCACTCAAGAAAGTCTTCAAAAGGCAAAGCGAAAGTACTCCCTAGCTCTCAAGAACTTAGAAGGAATAAGTGAAGAAATTCATGAGATGAGGAGAAGCCGTGAAAGCCTCGACATTATTTTAACGGAGCGAGAAGAGGGAGTTGGGGCAGAGTCTCCGATTGGTGATCTTTCTCATGATGTTGTTAGAACTGAAGGCGAGTTATCTTTACAAGACTTTGCTAAGTCTTCACCAAACAATCCTATGTATGGATTCAAAATTGCCGTAGTTTCGGCCTCAAGAGAAGACGGGCAAGAATTAAAAGGCCAGACAGTTTTAAACCCCATGGAAGAAAGGGATGGAGTCCTTGAAGGGTGTAGTGCTCTTGATGAACAAGAACTTAATATTCAAGTAAGTAAACACGAGGAACTTTCTTGGGGAAACGGGCTTGAATGCGAGGCTTCTATATGCCAAGATAGAGTCGAAAGCAGTGAGGAAATGACTGAACGGTGCAGTGATGAGTCTGCTTTGAATCCAGTTTGTCAGGATGAGACCGAAAGCCTTGTCCGTTGCACTGAAGGAATAAAAGAAAGTGGGGCTGTTGCCTCTTGCTTACCGGATCACAAACAACACGTACAGCTTACAGAAGTAGATTCAGTTGAGCCTCAAGAAACGTGCTTCACAGCTGAAAACTCAGGGGATGGAGACGACCAGACCAGCGAAGCTGAAAATGTTAACAAGTTGGATGTAAATACCATTGAAGAATCAGTTACAGAAAAGGAGTCTATCACAGAAGAGGAAACCGCAGATAAGGCTGTAAATGAAAAGGTTACAAAGCAGCTTTTAAGTGACAGAGGGGAATTGAGTACTACGGATGATAATGAGGACAGATCAGGATATATAAGCGAAACTGTGACAGAATCTGCTGACATTGTGGAGAAAGAAACGACCATAGAAACAGGTATGGAACCTGCGACAAAGACGAAAACACAAACTGTGACAGAAAAGGCCTCAGCAACAGCGACAGAAATTGTGATGGACACCGCCACCACAGAAGCAATGACAGAACCTGCGACATTGAATACAACAGTAACAGAATCAGACAAAAGCACGGAATCAAGTACTGTGACCGAAACTGTTACAGAAACAACCACAGAAACTGCGGCAAAGGCAAGCACAGAAACAGCGCCCGAAATAATGGCGGATGGTTCGTCAGAAACTGTATGAATTGTGAGGTCACTTTCGAAACAATGCATACGAAACTCTACTAATGGGCACCTAGTGCTTTAACCCTTCACTTCTTAACTATTTACTCGCGTTAACTCAGCTAAGGCTAAATGTACGTACTCACATTGGTCATTCCTCTGCGACACCTGGGGAAGGGCAAAAATCGACCTCCCACCACTTATGAAGGCTTGTCATTAGAAGACCATTGCCTCTGTTGTAACTTTGGCTTAATCTTTGTGATTCACCTTTCATGACAACTGACGAAATACTCATAAAAATGTTTTAAAAAGCCACAGACTTTTATTTGGGGTGATTTAGCAACGACAGCAAGGGGCTTCACAAAGACAATGGTATGAGGCCAGGTGATGAAATCGTTATCGTCTATAGATATGACGATAAAAATCTGTCGATTATCATTGGCAAGGATGGTTACTGAAAATGTAAAATAACGCTTTTAACCGATTCTTTGACTTACTATGCGTTATCGTTTCATTTGAAATGAGTTGCTTACTAAAATCTGTTGAATAAAAATTATCTTCCGAAAGGGGAATGCTCGATAACAAAATTATGTTACCATGTCCACGTTGTTTTAGAAAATCCCCAGAAAGCATCCTCGTCAATTTTATAGAGGAGTTCACGTAATGAAGCGTAACGCGTCGTTGGAATACAATCGGATTGTTCAACCGCGGGCTGTGACCTTTTGCAGTCTCTAGTTAACTGCAGAGGGTGTATGTAGATTTTTATGTTTAGTCTCGGGGTAATTATTTCAGAGCAGAGAAATTATAGCTGCAAGCAGATAATTTAAAAACTGTCAGTTTATAGTTTACGTAATGCTAGCTAAAGCTATATTTATTCACCAAAACAGATGATAGGAATTTTTAATTATTTGACGTTGTGGCGCTATTTTAAGTAGAAATCGTGATGGGAGAAGTTTCGTGAGTTGTCTACCCATCATTATCCATACGTGCAAATAACCCCATGATTATATACTTAAGAAATTAGAACAACTAGGACCGGGTTTATTTGCTGAGTTCTATTTAAATAGTCTCACTGAAAGCTTTAACCTCAAACCCAAGAGTTAAATGCAGATTGTAAACTACCACAGGATAGTACTGCTCAGTAGCTTTGATCTGGAAGATCACACTTCAGGATTTCATCCATTCACTCAAAACGGAGAACCACCTTGTACAGTATTAGTATTATTAACAGCACCACAGGAAAGTATTGCCCTGTAGCTTTCATTTGAAGAATATAACAAAAGTGATAAATAGAAGAAGTCTGTAGTTGTGTTAAATCAGCAGTTAGAAAATATACTAGATAATTACTGAAATGTGTCAAATATATACCCTTAATTTATGGCTTAAAAGAGTTATTAAAGACATCATACTCGAATGCTAATCGTGCCATTTCTGTTCCAAAAACGGACTGGAATGCTCAGATCGGCGGTGACACTATACCAAATTGGAAAGGTGTCGAAGGCAGGTACAGTATGGAAGCAACCAATGAAAGAGGACAGAGAGCATTAGAGTTTGCCGAAAGGCACAAGTTAGTGATCGCCAACACACTATTTAAACACAAGCGATCAAGGTTGGTAAGTTGGCATGCTCTAAACGGTCGGAGCTATCAAATTAACTTCATAATAGTTACCAACAAATTCAAATCTTGTACACAAATGAAGAGTTCAAGAAACTTTCCTCCAGCAGACTTTGAGAGTGACGATGACTCGCTGATGTCCACCATCATTGTCCCACTGTTCCACCATCAAAGTTTCACTATTCCAGCATCTCTGTTACACTGCTCCACCATCACTGTTCCGCGGTTCAACTGTTCCACCATTAGATGTTCTACGGTTCAACCCTCTCTGTTCCACTGTTCCACGATCTCTGTTCCACTGTTCCAGCATGATTTCTCCTCCGCTCAACCATCAGATGTTCTACTGTTCCACCATCTCTGTTCCACAGTTCCACCATAATTGTTCCACCATCAAATGTTCCACTATTACACCATCAAATCTTCTACTGTTTCACCATCTCTGTTCCACTGTTCCACCATCACATGTTCTACTGTTCCACCATCTCCGTTCCACAGTTCCACCATAATTGTTCCACCATCAAATGTTCCACTACTACACCATCAACTCTTCTACTGTTCCACCATCTCTCTTCGACTATTCCATCATCAGATGTTTTACTGTTCCACTGTTCAACCATCAGATAGTACGCTGTTCCACCATCAGATATTCTACTGTTCTACCATCAGATGTTCTATTGTTCCACCAACAGATGTTTAACTGTTCCACCAACAGATGTTCTACTGTTCCACCATCAGATGTTCCACTCTTTCACCATCAAATGTTGTGCTGTTCCACCATCAGGTATTCCACTGTTCCACCATTAGATGTTCCACTGTCACCATCATAGGCTCTACTGTTCCACCATCAGATGTTCCACTGTTCAACCATCTCTGTTCCACTGTTCACCCATCAGATGTACCACTGTTCCAGCATCAAATGTTGTGCTGTTCCACCATCTGATGTTCCACTGTTCCACTGTTCCACCATCAAATGTTCCACCATCAGATGTTCCACTCTTTCACCATCAAATGTTGTGCTGCTCCACCATCAGGTATTCCACTGTTCCACCATTAGATGTTCCACTGTTCCACCATCATAAGTTCTACTGTTCCACCATCAGATGTTCCACTGTTCAACCATCTCTGTTCCACTGTTCAACCCATCAGATGTACCACTGTTCCACCATCTCTGTTCCACAGTTCAACCATCAGATGTTCCACTGTTCCACCGTCAAATGTGCTGTTCCACCATCTGATGTTCCACTGTTCCACCATCAAATGTTCCACTGTTCCACCATCAAATGTTGTGCTGTTCCACCATCTGATGTTCCACTGTTCCACTGTTCCACCATCAGATGATCCATTGTTCCACCATCAGATGTTCCACTGTTCCACTATCTAGTATTCCACTGTTCCACCATTAGATGTTCCACTGTTCCGCCATCAGACGTTCTACTGTTCCACCATCAGATGTTCCACTGTTCCACCATCTCTGTTCCGTTGTTCCACTATCAAATGTTCCACTGTGCCACTGTTCCACCATCAGATGATCCACTGTTCCACTATCAGATGTTCCACTGTTCCACTATTAGGTATTTAACTCTTCCACCATTAAATGTTCCACTGTTCCACCCTCAGAGGTTCTACTGTTCCAACATCAGATGTTCCACTGTTCCACCATCAGATGTTCTACGGTTCCACCGACAGATGTTCCACTGTTCTACAATTAAATGTTCCACAGTTCCACCATCAGATGTTTTACCCTTCCACCATCAGATGTACCACTGCTCCACCATTAGATGATCCACTGTTCCACTATAAGATGTTCGACTGTTCCACTATCAGATATTCCACTGCTCCACCATCTCTGTTACACTGTTCCACCATCAGATGTTCCACTCTTCCACCATCAGGTATTCCACTGTTCCACTATTAGATGTTCCACTATTCCACAATCATAGGTTCTACTGCTCCACCATCAGATGTTCCACTGTTCCACCATCAAATGCCGTGCTGTTTGACCATCTAATGCTCCACTGTTCCACCGTCAGATGTTCCACTATTTCACCATCGGATGTTCCACTTTTCCACTATGAGGTATTTTACTGTTCCACCATTAGATGTTCCACTGTTCCATCAGTAGAGGTTCTACTGTTTCACCAGCAGATGTTCCACCGTTCTGCCATCTTTGTTCCACTGGTCCACCATCAGATGTACCACTTTTTCCACCATCTCTGTTCCACTGTTGTACCATCAGATGTTCCACTTTTCCACGTTCTCTGTTTAACTGTTCCACCATCAGATGTAGCAGTGTACCACCATCTCTGTTCCACTGTTCCACCATTAGACGTTGTATTGTTCCACCATCAAATGTCGTGCTGTTTGACCATTTGATGCTGCTCTGTTCTACTGTCAGATGTGTACTGTTCCACTATCAGGGATTCCACTGGTCCACCATGAGATGTTCCACTGTTCCAACATCTCTGTTCCACTGTTCCACTGTTGCACCATCAGATGTACCACTGTTTCACCATCTCTGTTCCACTGTTTCACCATCAGATGTTCCATTGTTCCACCATCAGATCTTTCAGTGTTCCACCATCAAATGTTGTGCTGTTCCACCATCAGATTTTTCACTGTTCCACTGTTCGACTGTTCCACTATTAGATGTTTTACTGTTGCACCATCAGAGGTTTTACTGTTCCACAATCAGATGTTACACTGTCCCACCATCAGATGTTCTACTGTTCCACCGACAGATGTTCCACCGTTGTACCATGTCTAATCCACTGGTCCACCATCAGATGTACCACTTTTTCCACCATCTCTGTTCCACTGTTCTACCATCAGATGTTCCACTTTTCCACCATCACATCTTTCAGTGTTCCACCGTCAAAGGCTGTGTTGTTCCACCATCAGATGTTCCACTGTTCCACTGTTCCACCATTAGATGTTTTACTGTTGCGCCACGAGAGGTTCTACTGTTCCACCATTAGATGATCCACTGTTCCACTATCAGATGTTCGACTTTTCCACCATCAGGTGTTCCACTGTTCCACGATTAGATTTTCCACTGTTCCACCATCAGAGGTTCTACTGTTCCACCATCAGATTTTCCACTTTTCCACCTTCTCTGTTTAACTGTTCCACCATCAGATGTACCAGTGTGCCACCATCTTTGTTCCACTGTTCCACCATTAGACGTTCCAGTGTTCCACCATCAAATGTCGTGCTGCTCGACCATCAGAATGCTACACTGTTCTACTGTCAGATGTTCCACTGTTCCACCATCAGGTATTCCAGTGGTCCACCATTAGATTTTCCACTGTTCCACCATCAGAGGTTCTACTGTTCCACCATCAGATGTTCCACTGTTCCAACATCTCTGTTTAATATTTATTTAAAATAATATTTATTGCTTATAGCGCGCAAATTAAGGTTCGAATATGATCAAATGCGCGTTACATCTAAGATACCTAGAAACTATAAACAAAAGCAAAAGAAAACTATTCCACCATCTCTGTTACACTGTTCCACCATCAGATGTTCTACCATCAGATGATCCACTGTTCCACTGTTCCACCATCAGGTATTCCACTGTTCCACCATTAGATGTTCCATTGTTCCACATTCTACCATCTCTGTTGCACTGTTCTACCACCAGATGTACCATTGTTCCACCATCTCTGTTCCACTGTTTCACCATCAGATCTTTCAGTGTTCCACCATCAAATGTTGTGCTTTTCCACCATCAGGTGTTCCACTCTTTTACTCTTCCACCATAAGATGTCTTATGTTGCACCATCAGAGGTTCAACTGTTCCACCATCAGATGCTCTACTGTTCCATCATCCCTATTCCACTGTTCTACTATCAGATGTTACACTGTTCCACTATCAGAGGTTCTAGTGTTCCACGATCAGATGTTCGACTGTTCCACCATCACTGTTCCACTGTTCCACCACCAGATGTTCCACTGTTCCACTATCAGATGTTAGACTGTTCCACCGTCTCTCTTCCACTGTTTCACCATCAGATGTTCGGCTGTTGAAGCACCAGATGTTCCACTTTCCACCACCAGATGTTTCACTTTTCCACCACCACATGTTCCACTGTTCTACCGTCACATGTGCTACTGTTCCACTGTTCCACCATACGATGTTATACTGTTCCACCATGAGAGGTTCTACTGTTCCATCATTCGTGTTCCACTGTTCCACTATCAGATGTTACGCTGTTTCATCATCAGATGTTTTACTGTTCCACCAACAGATGTTCCACTGTTCCACCATTAGATGTTCCACTGTTCCACCATCAGATGTTCCACTGTTCAACCATCAGCTTTTCCACTGTCTCACCATTAGGTATTCCACTGTTCCACCATTTGATGTTCCACTGTTACCATCAGATATTATCTGTTCCACCGTCACATGTTCCACTGTTCCACCATCTCTGTTCCAGCTTTCCACTATCAGATGTTCCACTGTTCCAACATCAGATGTTTCACTGTTTTACCTCTAGATGTTATACTGTTCCAACCTTCGAGGTTCTACTATTTCACCGTCAGGTGTTCCACTGTTCCATCATCCCTCTTCCACTGTTCCACCATCAGATGTTACACTGTTGCACCACCAGATGTTCTACTGTTCCTCCAACAGATGTTCCACTTTTCCACCAATAGATCTTTCACTGTCCCACCATTTCTGTTTCACTGTTCCACCATCAGCGGTTCAAGATGTTAAAGTGTTCTACCATCAAGTTTTCTACTGTTTCTCTGCTCCAGCCGTCGGATTTTTCATCGTTCCACCATCAGATGTTCTACTGTTCACCATTAGATGTTCTACTGTTTTTGTTCTGCTGTTGCACCATCCGATGTTTTATTTTTTTACCATGAGATGTTCGATTGTTCCACCATTAGATGTTTCACTGGTCCACCATGATTGTTCCACTGTTTCACCATCAGATGTTCTACTTTCCCACCATGTCTGTTTCACTGTTCGACCATCAGATTGTCTACTGTTCCAATATTGCTACGTATTGGAATACCCAGCTGGAGCTACTGAGGAGAAGAGAGAACAAATCACCATTCATTGCGTACTAGACTAGCTAGAAGCCCGAATGAGTGTTAAGGGAGAGTGGATTTGGGAGAGTGTGCGAGAATGGTGGGGAGGCGGAGGTATCTATCGTTCATTCACCCGATATTCCCCTTCCCACGTTTAGAATGCCTGCTACACGCAGATTAATCGCACAAATATTTAAGTTGTACGAGACTCGGTACCCCTTCAAAAAATACCATTCGTTTTAAATTTTCAAACGTTGAGGCAGTAAAAATAGTTTTTTACAGACTTATTTTAGAATTAGAACAAAAATTGCTCTTAATCATAGCAACCGTAAACGCCTGATTACCCTTGGGTCAATATTTACTTTTATTGTTTTAAACGCATTATCGTACGTTCAAAAAAGACAATAAGAAAATAAAAATTTTTGCTGTGAGTTTTTCGAAAACTGGGGCTAGGCAAGGGCTAGGCAGGGCGTCAGGCAGGGCGTTAGGCAGGGCTCGACACTCAGAGGGTGCGTTCGATTGGGAAATCCGGATTTAGATTTTCAAAATCTAAATCCGGATTTCCCAATCGAACGCGAAATCCGAAAACGGATTTCACCTCCGAGAAATCCGTCCTCAAGGTGGATTTCAATTACCGTTCGATTGGGAAATCCGAAAAAGGATTTGCAAAAGTATTCTCGTGAACAGTGGTCTTCTTTTTGCTAAGTATGCGTGCGCGTGCAAGACCGCTGTTCTTAAGGACAGTTTTTCAAATCCTTTTTCGGATTTCCCAATCGAACGGTAAAAATGAAAATCCAAAAACAGATACCTCAGCGTTGAAATCCGTTTTCGGATTTCGCGTTCGATTGCAAATCCGAAATCCAGATTTTCAAAATCTAAATCCAGATTCACCAATCGAACGCACCCAGAAGGAATTTCAATTTTTGAAGCAAGGACCAGCTTACAAAAGAACGACCGGATCCTAATAAAGGATCTAATTAGCAATATCTGAAAATTTAAAAGAAAAGAAGCTGGATAATTCTCGTCGCGGAAAAGAGTAATGTACTTCAATAAAGGTTGCTCCCGTTTACCATGTTTCATAGCCTGCAGTACATCATGGTAAACCGTTTTGTAGCGGGAAGTTTAGTCTTGTTCACGTTTATTGAAATAATGGAGACCATTTGCGAAAGGCGTTCAAGAGAGCTTTCACGTCAAATGGCTGCTAAAATTCTTAAGCATAAGCGAGCTGTAAATTTTATTTTTAAAATCTCATGGTAAAAAATTAGAAGCCTCTTCTTTTAACAACGTTAAATGAATAGGGGTTTACTGTCTCATTAAGCTGCGTTTTTGCATTGGCCAGAATGCTGGTTATTCACGCCAATAAAGCAAATCAACTCTATTCTTTTATTCAATTTTAAGAAAATTGCCTCAAAAATAGATAAGCACGTAATGTTAAGTTACAAACGCCTCGAATTTGATTTTTTTTAAGACCCTGTTTACATGGAGTGGGGGACCCCGGTCTAGTGGGGTAAGTTTCTTTTGTTTTGTGTCCCACAGAGCGTGAAAACAAAAGAAACCAATCCCACTAGATCGGGGTCCCCCACTGCATGTATACAGGCCCTAAAACTCTATCCAAAATTCCCGCGTGCGCGAGCCAAGCAAACTCGTTGAAAATTTGCAGCATTTGCATATTGCCACAGAGAAAAACCTAACCTCAAATCACTGTCTTGATTAAAAAGCCTAGGATTCAGTGTTTTGAAATATATTGTCTTAACGTTCTGCTGAGACAGCATAGAAGCGTTAGCAGCGTTTGCTTTCTGGGTTTCTAGGCTTGTTGCGGGCACAAAATTTACTTGACTTGCTACAGTAATGCACCGCGGGCTATGAAACATGGATCATGCATTATTCTTCTCAGAAGCAACCTTAACTGAAATTCTCGGTTTTCACTCACGTGAGAAAGCAGGAATAAAAATGGAAACCTTTTAAAACAGACAGTCTAGAATCTGGAAAATGAAAGAAGATAAATATACAAAAAGCCTTGCCAAGAATCGGGTCTATGCAATAGTTCATATGCGAGATATTCGGAAAAACGTTTTACCCAAATTTATAAAGCTTTGTATGGAGACGCCATGTTTGTGCCCCTTTGAGGGGCACAAATATGGCCGCCGGAAACCAACAGAAACATCTGTTTTTGAGTTTTCCTACTTATGCGTGAATTCTTCGCGTGAGGAACTCATAAAGATTAAAGTAATATTTATATTTATTCTAAGACAAGGAATGTTTAGATAGCAAAATCTCCAAAAATCCGTAATGTTTTTAACCCACATAAGAGCTATCCCGGCCGCCAGCTAAATGCCCCGTCACGCAAAAGCCTGGAAATGCAAGCGTCCTGTATCACAAAACAAAGAACCCTTTTGAACCGAAAATGGAGGGGTTTGCTATTCTCGTTCCCAGAGTCCGCGCTGGGCATTGAGAAGGAAGCGTAATTAAGAAGCGTAATACTGGGTCCCACTTGGCGCCTGCGCGTTTCGCAATGTTCCTCTTTCCCTATCCAACATGTCGAAGAGAGGTGAGGGTGACAAGCAGTCGATGTTTATATCGTCTTGCATCGTTTTGTTTAAAGGCATTGCGGTCAAAATTTTGCTTATACTACAACATTCATTAAATTTCCTTTCTTCTGGTGTGTAAAGTTCGAATAACTTGCCCTGTGAGCTTTCAAATTCACGTGGTGAAAGTCAGTGTGTCTTGAAGACATAAATATTATCGCTCGTGGTGCTTTATATTTTTGTTGACTTTCGATCTTGGTTCTTAGTTAAAATCATCGTAATAAACTGACTTTCTTCTTAAGGAAAGGTTTCTAGGGTTTGTCTTTGTTATTGACGGTCTGTCTTGTTGCTGAGATATAAATTTATACAGTAAACTTCGAGGGATGTAACAGTCGCGCAGACATGTCTTAAGAGTTTATAGGATCACACGCTTATAATACAGTCAACTCCCTTTATAGCAGATAATGTAGGGAGAGTGCGTAATAGCAAGAGTTTATGTGAGTCAAACATCTATAATTTGTTTTTACTGAGGAGTTTAGCTGCTGTCTGTATTATTGGGGTGTCTGCAAGGCGAGAGTTGACTGTATTATCCTGGACATGTTTTCTTCGAAACAGATTGTTAGTTGTCCTTGGTAGCATTTTGCCATTTCAGTGTGCAAAGAAAGTAGTGTCCGATAGCCGGGGGCTAGTGGATTTCGCTATTGGGCTAGTGATTTCTTTTATAAACTTGCCTGATGGGCAAATGAAGTTTTTTGAGGAATTGAAATTACAGAAGAACTGTGAAATCAATCTGCTCATCAAAACGTTTTTGGGGCTAGTTGAAATGATGTTTGGGCTAGTAAATGTTATCTTCAGCTTGCCCGAATGGCAAGCTGTAAAAATGATTTTTTTTTTTTGCACCCTGCATTGACACTAAACTGTATCAAGGGAAACGTCTAAAGGAAAACTTGCTTCAGTAAATTAATATATGTTAAGCAATGTGTGGTATACTTTCTTTCTCCAGGACGTGGAGGTTCTTCCGGAGGGAAGTTTCGTATCTCCCTGGGTCTCCCAGTTGGTGCAGTAATCAACTGTGCGGACAATACAGGTGCCAAAAACCTTTACATTATTGCTGTCAAGGGAATCAAGGGTCGCCTGAACAGATTACCAGCTGCAGGGTCGGGAGATATGGTATTAGCTACAGTCAAAAAGGGAAAACCAGAGCTCAGGAAAAAAGGTGAGAAAATTGTAAGGATTCCCTATGTTGATGGATTTAGTATTTTGCTGTGCATGTAATTTGCATTGACAACTCCTATGACTAAGTGAAGCAACATGCAAAATTTGTTCTTTATCTTACCCTTTTATTTTTCAAACTACGGCTCAAACTTATAATAGGAATAACCAAAGGTTAGGGAGTACAGGTGAGATTGATCAAAGGTCAAGTCACTCTTGCTCCACTGCTGTGCTTTCAATAGCTTTCATGTGATAGAAGTTTAAAATGTATGTCACCAGGTAGTGTTCTATGGATCCCATTTATTCTTTGTGGGAGTCTGGTTGAATACTGGGTACATACTTGCCGTGCATACATAACAGCAACCAGGGCCCAGTTGTTCGAGTGCTGATTAAAGCTAGCCCGGGGTTAAATTTTAATCCCAGTTAATTTTTCTTTTGTTCAAAGGCATTTTCTCAGATAATTTTCTCTATTCATTTGAGAGCATCCAGTCATCAGATAGTAGAGAAAAAGAATTAAACTGCATTTGCTTTTTAATCTTTCATATCTGAATTCAAATTTCGTACTAACCCTGGGTTATCCTAACCCAGCTTTGAACAACCCTGCCCTGGAGATTAGACTTGCAGGCTCCTCTTGCCATCCACAATAGGCCATTTTTCCAATTACAACATTTTACTACAGTGAGCAGAATTCATTTTGTTTTTGCTTTCCTATTGAAATTCATCTATCCCGCTGAGATTCTTCTAACAATTTCCAAAGTGAAATTTCACAAATATCCTGAATTTTTTTTGTGAAATCCTAAAAAATGGAAGAAAGCCCTTCATGTGTGCAAAAGTTCTACCAAAGGGATTCCATTCGAGTGGTAACATCATCAAGGATTTTGTCAACAAATTGAAAAGTTAGAATGACAATTAACATTGCACCATAACTTTGTCTTAGCTCTTAAAGTAATATTATTGATTTTTTGTCAAATTTCTTGCCATTTTTTATGTTTAGTGATGCCTGCAGTGGTGATTAGACAACGGAAGGCATTCAGAAGAAAGAATGGCATGTTTATTTACTTTGAGGGTGAGTTCAAGGATTCAAGTCTATTTTCGTTATTCGCTAATTAAAGAATGTACAGCTGTAGCACACAGTCCTCTTTAATTTCAAGGTAGCATTCTCCTTCTTTTTTTGAAGTTGTAGCTTGCATTTTTGTTGTTATCAGCCTCTTAAACTTCAGCTTTGTGCAGGCAATGGAAATGCTGACAATTTAGCAGACTGAAAGAAGTGTGTGCTGGGCAAGAACTACCAGGCCCTGGGTTAGCGAGTAACTAACACAATCAAACCTAAAAAGACCAAAGAAAGATTTTTGACTCCAGTATTTGTTTGGAGCAAAATGTTTTCCTACTACAATACAATGCAATATTCTTTATTCAACGAAGGTGACGTAATAACCCAATGAGTTGTCTAACTTATGGCCCTCACAAAAATACAAAGTACACATATAAAAACAATGCCTAATCAGTAATATACGACTACAACAAGAGAAAAAATAGAACTAGACAAATGTATGGTTTAACATCGATATAAGATGATATAAACTAATTACCTTCTAATCCAGTTACAATAAAGAGAAAAACGTAAAACACATTAATTCTTCAAGATGAGAAATGTTACTTGCAAACTTAAGGAATAAGATAGAGAGTTTATGCTGAAAATTATTTAATCTAGGTGAAAAAATAATAGAAGAAGGAGATACACATGCTACAGTTTGTTGTTCAAGTGTTGTGTACAACTTCTTACATTCTTCTTTATGATCTTCTTCTCCTTGTTGCAGACAATGCAGGTGTCATAGTGAACAATAAGGGTGAAATGAAAGGTAAGATACGGCTATTTCCTTGCTGCTGATGAGGTCAATCTGTGGATGAGTGTAAGCAGTGATTTTGTTACAATTTGCTAATAGTGAGTCCGGGGAATCGTCTCACGAAAACCAGTCCAGAATCGAATGAGTCCCAGTTCAAAATCTAATGAGGCATTACTATGGTAAAAGATGCCAGAACTCTAATGAAACTAGACAATCACATTTAATCTGTAGTCTACTGTTAATAGCAAAGCACTTATCTCTGTAATACATTACCGTGGCGTTGACTCCCAAAGGACACAAGCTGTCAGTTATTCTGCATCCTCGAGAATTTTTTTGCGTCAGGGACACTTTACGCAGGGGTAACAAAATCACTGGTGTAGGTTATTAAAAGAGTTGAACGTAAAGCAATTTGTCTCGTAGGGGATGTGTAATTCGACCCAAAAAGGGTGCTGATAGTAGTAAAAATTAATATTATTCCTTGAAAATATTTCTCAGTTTTGCATTGGGCTAAGTTCCCTAGCTTATTCTTCCTAGCCAGCCAGCAATGAGCAAATAATGAAGATGTTGTTATTTTCCTGTTAACTTCAATGGTAAAAGAGTTAACTGAAATAATTGTACGCACTGACTGTCGCACATAAAGACACAGTGCAGCAACCCAGCAGTTTTGAGAGAAAATGGCGGAATAGTTTACACATCACATGAGGATAGAATATCCAAAACACAACAAGAACACGTACACATACATGTACTGTACCAACAGTGCCACTTGATTGATGATTGCTTTCCGGAATAATCCTTTCTTGCAACAAAAAACATACATTCATATCCTGAGACTGCTAAAGAGCAGCCAAATGTTCTTAAGATGGGAATTCTTACATGTACATGTACCGCTGTATATGTAGGTGTGCCTACATGTTTGTGTTAAGTGGGAGCATATGTTGTAGGTAAAATTGATTTAAGGTGAAACCATAGTTCAGCCTAGTTTGATATTCACAATTTTCTATGTCCTAGCCCTAACTATTCATAGGAGACAAAAGAAATTCTGGTTTAGTCTAAGAACACATTTTACATACATGCACAACACATACATCTACACCATATTTTGATGTTAATGAAGCTGGCCAAGCCATGTCTTTTATTCATAACTTTATGTGCATGTATATGAAACTACAAAATTTTGGTGGTCGAGCAAATTTTGACAGATGAAGATTATTGCAACTTTTTTCCTCTGGAGTTTAATGGTGGCATATCAGTCCACAAGGTCTCAGTCATTATTTTCTATCGGCATGGCTATGCTTTAGACAAATAGACTACAAGTAGTTCCCATTTTTCCTTAGGGATAGTAAAGCGAGCAAAATGCAAGCGCGTGTGAAAATCATCCCATGCAAGAGAGGCAAGCTGTTTCGCTTGCTCTACAATCCCTGAGAAAAAATGTGGACTACCCGTAGTCTATTATAAAAAAAGCCATGAGGAAAATACACTTGTACTGATGGTTTTTGATTATTTTCTGTAGGTTCTGCCATCACTGGCCCTGTAGCAAAAGAGTGTGCTGACCTGTGGCCAAGAATTGCTTCCAATGCTGGTAGCATTCAATGAAATGTACTGTACACTTGTTAAAATAAAGATGCTCTGACTTACCCATAATTTGTTTTTTTTCTTGTTTTATTTTCTTTCTCTTTTTGTGCTAAATTACAGTCAAACCTACAAAACTGTGAACTCGTGATATATTTCAGGAATGTTTATTGTGTTATGACCAATCACAGCAAAGATCAGGATGGTGAACTAGTCACCAAACCACAAACTCATTAACGTTCTTGTTTGGCGTGTTTCTTGCAACACAGTAACATTCTAGAAATTTCTGTATTTCTGGTGTTCACAGTTTTTCGGGTTTGAAAGGTACTCTACCTTTCAGGGTTTTGTACAGGTCATGGAAAACCTGGAAAGTCACGAAATTTAAGAATTTCATATTCCAGGCCTCGAAAGTCATGGAATTTAATTGGTCATGGAAAGTCGTGGAAAATTGATAATTGAAGTTGTGATTGTTAGATTAGTTACTGCAGACGTCAAAACGAAGACAAAGTAAGATAGAGAGAGGTAATTGAACAGTTCAAATGACACACATTTTGGTGGACACCAAATTGTAATTTGTCGTACCATGAATCAGGTCAAAAAATGCCCTAAAACAAGGATAGTTTTGAAAGTTTTTGAAAGTGACAGCCATACCTATACCTTTAAGCCCTCCCTTGGGTTGTTATGTTAAAAGTTCTCACAAGCTTTTCTATTGATCATGTATGGATATTGTTAGAAGGAAATTACTATTGTCACTCTGAAGGGGTTAAGCCTGCAATGTGGGTAACCCCCGCCCCTTCCCTGCCCCAGACCAAGAGTAGGCACTCCTTGGACAGTGTCTGAAAAAACTTCAAGTGTAATCAGACATGATGGCCAGGTATATTAAATACCATGGAAGCTCAAGAACCCTGGTTGAGTTCAAATCTTTCAAATCTTCAGAATGTGCCATCAAGAGGGTTCGCTGTCCGCTGAGCTACATGGAGCTGGGGGGGGGGGGCACCCAACAAAGTTTTTTATGGGGAGTCTTTGTCTCAAGTTTTAACCCCTTACCCTTTTATATATCATTTTTGGTAGAAAAGACACCCCTTTCGTATACCTAGTGTGGAACTTTGCATCCTTTTTAATTGCTGTAAATGCTCTCTGTTTCAGATATCAATAAACCTCAGTTTAGAACATTTTCTTGACTTTTTCAAAGCCTTAAAATGCATTTGTTAATCCTTTTGGGCCTTTTTACTGACCAAATTGAGAGAATTGCCTACCCTTTCATATACCTGAAACCCGAAGAAGGTACCCCTTTCGGGCGGCGCCTCCCTGCTCCCTGTGTTGGCTATTATAGGGAGTACCCCTCCCCCACCGGGGAGCTACAGAAAATCTTTGGCTCCGGCAAAGGGGGCAACTTTTTTCTCATTTAGACGATCGATAAAGTTAACTCGGCTGGAAGGGTGCTTCTTTTTCGCGGGACAACTTTTCTTTAGGTAAGAGGGGCCTTTATCTTGTTTAACCCATCTGTCCCTGAACCATCCGTACTAATCTTTGTACGGCTTGTGACGTCATCCGACTAACGCTGTTTCCTTATGGGTCCATACAATGAAGGCGAAGACAGGATGGCAAAACCAGCCCAAATCACTTCGAAACGACGCTGGAACACAAAATACTGAAGAGGTAAGTCTATTTCATTTCATTTCTTCACATTAAGCTCCGGTGAGGCGACTTATTTTCGAAATATGAGCCTTATAAATCGTTTCATAACGCAATATTGCCAGTTGTGTTAATTTTTAGTAAGCGATCACATATAATGCGGGCAAGGAGTACTCCTGGGAAACCGTTAGTCTCTCAAAAAAACATTCCTAATTAGGGCTTCGTAAGAAACACTACGCTACGAAGCCTTAAGAATTTCTGAGTGGGAGGCCAGGAGAACGTATACCAAACAATACCTGGTTACCTTGGAATTGAATCTCACTTTCATGCAGACGAAAGGGTGTGGATCTGACCATCGGGCGCCGATTGGATGATATTTTTAAAAGCGCGCAAATCAATTTGATTAGTTCGTATAAGTGGAACTACTATGGGGGCCGATCAAGTAGGTAAACTGGTAATAGACCTATTCGGCTAATTCAATGTTGTGCCCAATTCAAATCTCCCGGGGATAAGATTCATTGTGTAATATTTTATTTGGATTATAATGTGGCATTCACATTTAATTGATATGGAAATTCCTTAAACAAAACGTTTTATTCCCTAAGGGTTTGAATTGGGTACAACATTGAGTTAGCCGAATAGGTATATCGGTGCCAGATCCAGACCTTCAGATAAGAGGGGGGGGTGGGGGGGGCGGACTCCAAAAAATTTTTTTTCGCCCCTTCAGGTCTCAGATTGCCCTAAAAATAAGAGCGCGGGGGGGAGGGGGCTCCCCTGGATCAACCACTGGTAATTGTAAATACTCGTCACCACCCAAGTGGAAATGGATTTTTCATACGAACAATTTCCGCGCGGCTACCCTGCTTAAAAAATAGCACGTGATGGCTAAATTACCATCGGTCACTTCTGTAACTACCAATTTGACGCGTTTGACAGTTGTGGTCGGCAAGAGAGCACTGAAACCCCGGAGGGGTACTAAAAAAATTTTAAACGGGGACGCTCCGCCCCGAGGTCCAACCCCTTACCCTTTTATACACCATTTTGACAACCAAAGGAGACCCCTTTTGTGTACCTTTCATAGACAAATAGTACCTCTTTCACATACTGGTTTCGAACGATGCATCCCTGTTAACTGCTGTAAGATGTTTCGAATATGGATAAATTATTAACATAGGCAGTTTTCTTGACTCTTTCACAGCCATAGAAATGCGCCTGTTAGCCCTTTTAGATTAATGGTTTAGTGGTTTACATAAAATTTAGGTAAGGTCTACAATCTTGGACAAAAAGTGTTAAGAATTTTACACTTTGTTATACACGGGGGACACACCCAGTGAATTTAGCATCATGGTGGCCCCTCCCCCCACCCCTCCCTGATCAGTGTTGTTAAGTCTGGACCAGAAATGTTCCGGTGACCCTTCAACATTGTTTTTTTGGGGGAAGGGGAAAGTATCTTGAGTGTACGGGTCTTTGGAGTGAAGTATTCTAAAATGAAACATACTAGATGTATTTTTCTTAACATTTTTGTCCAAGATTGTAGATAAGAAGTAACGAAAGTACTCATCATCATACATGTATATTCCGATAACGTTTTTCAATAGCTATAACGGTGCCATTCAGTTAACAGAAGAAGAAGTTAGTTTCTTAAGGCCCCGGCGAAATGATCTATTTAAGGTGAAGCAAATACAGGGATTTACTGCACAATGCGAGAAAGCCAGAAAATCAAAGATAAGGCTACAAAGTTGAATGTCACATTCAAGTGGTCTTCTCTTCAATGCAAAGCGCCTTAGCAAGTTTAAAACAGTTATGGGCACCAAGCATAATATGCACCCTAACACGATGACAAAGGTGGCGAGCCAAAGAACGTTTCGGTTTCGTTGAACTCTTGCGCGAAGAACCTCAACGTTGGACATTTGCTGGCCGAGAAAATCCACTCGGTAGTGCTTGAAAATAATGAAAGAGTAAAGTATCGTAAGCAGAGCGGTGGGGATATAAATAAATACAACATATGTGACTAGGAGGTAATTTTTCTCAGACAAGGACTCTCCAATAGTTTCATTCCAGCTCCATCCGCAGAGTAGTTGTCCCTGGTCTGAGCGAAGCTTAAAGGCCAGTAAACCGGGAACGGTAGCAGCAATTGCGATTATCCAAATGGCCAGAATACATAAAACGCTTCGTTTGGTGGTAAAGAATGGGGAGTAAAGAGGAAATGCCACACGACTACATCGCTCTGCCGCTATGAGAATCAGGCTCAGAATGGAGACATCAATCGACACCCTTTCAAGTAAAGCTCTAAGTTTACAAAGTGCTCTTCCAGGGAGACCATCGATAAACCAGGAGTCGTGGTACAAATGCGTTAGATGGATAGGCAACAGAAAGGTTGGATACAGCAAATCCGACGTGGCCATGTTGACAATAAAAAAGTTAATTGGCCTTCTCATTCTTTTATTTTTGTAAACAATGGTCACAATTAAGGAATTTCCAACCAAAGAGCCAAAAATAATCACGCAGTAAGCAACTGTTTTTCCAATTAAAGCTGAAGGATTTGTAGTGAAACAGTTCGATGTATTTACTAGTACTCTTGTGTTCGAATTTGACATTTCGCTCTCCCTTCACTCAACTTCTTGGGGTCCTCAAACGATATTTCTTTAGTTACAATAAAAAATGAGGAGGCAAACGTAAGTGTACCATTGTTCACTTGGCAAAATAAGTTGAAAAGTGGTGAAGGTGATGCAGACCAACCGCTCTTTCATGAGTTAAACACCTAGTTATTATGTTATCTCGAACCAGTCTGATCGCTATATGAATAAGTCACGTTTTTTTTTGCTGAATATGGGAACCAAACACCCCAGCTCTCAAATGATCAGGTTTTTTTTTAACTAACAGGACGTTTTACCGTTACCTCGACATTGCACACGCGTGGGTGCGATGGAAAAATTTGTAAATGTAGACACGTACGCGAACCCCGGCAAAATTTTTTTGTGGTTTTGACAGAGTGACGATACTACTTTATTCACATGATTAAAAATTACATGCGTGTACACGCACGTAAAATTACGCGACAGTGGAAATCCACCCATACATTGCCTCTGCTTTATTTACGCGCGTAAAATTTAAGTGCGTAAAAATTGCGCGGCAGTCACTGTTGCGTAATGTCACGTACGCAAGCACGCTCGTAAAAATTACGCAACATTGGAAATCCACCCTTACTCGTATGTATGACATTCGTGTGGTGTTTTTTTGAAAACGGAGATTTCTCCGTTCTCCAAAAATACTGACATTTCTAAACGTAGCGTATTCGAATCGTCCGTCTACACGAAAACGCTAAAACAATGGATTTATGATATCATCTCTTATGGAGAATTCGCTGTATGATGTATTCAAAAACCTCCGTTTTCGTCCATTCACACAAAAACGATATGCCGGCTTTTTCATAAAACTCCACTCTAGGAACTGTTATCAAAACCTGCATTTTTGTGCCTGAAAAAGCCGTTTACGTGTAGACGGAAGGCTAAGACTATATAGTTATGAATCAGACTATATTATTCGCCGTTCGGAGGCAACCTCATCAGACTTTGTTATATCTTTTTGTGGGCTTCAAGGTGCACATAGTTCAATAGCATTCCCAACATTTTGATCTTTTTTACCAATGAAAACGTCACATTAATATACTCCATCACAATTTTTGAGCAAAAAAACAAAGGATTGTGCACCGTCAGGGAGCAAGATGCAGGGCAGCAACGTTTTTTTTTTTTAATCTTTGATGTTTGCCACCTATCAGTTTCCTCTACTAACGCGGAGAAAACGGCGAAAAAGTCTCCGATTTCAAAAATATCCGGATATTTGTTGAAGGAGCCTTGGTTATGGTCGGTTCCGGGAAGCTGCATTGCGTGCATCCCTCCAAATTTCTTAATCACGTATAGAAAACATGTCAAAAAAAGTTAAATAGTGGTAAAACGATCGTCTCTGCAAGTGCGTGTGTACGTGAATATATTATACTTCCTTGGCCTGTTATCGTCTCCATCGACTAAGATTGTTTAAACAGCAGCGATATTTATCTTTCTAACAAGGAAATAGCGTTAAACCATACTCGTGAATTAAGACACAAGCGCCATACAAAAATTAGTCATGCAAAATACAGCACTGTTTAACTTTGTAAGCGATTTGATATTATGAGGCTAGCCTCCCACGCCATAGGTACCCTAAGCTCACGAGCTAGGCTGACAACAGAAGGATTTGTTATTAAATGCACGACTCTCTTAAACCTCTCTTCTTTCTCAATTTAGTTCGAAATTTAACTAAAATGCGGTGGTACAACAAAACTAAGTTTATTCATTGCAAGACGCTTGCTTATCAGTGACGATTATTAATGTTAAGTTGTGTGCTTCTTCTTTTCTGTGTGGTTCCCGAGCCGATTCATGACCATTTAATAGGTTTTATAGGAACCAGTTTGCTCTTGGTTATGCAGCAGTTCCGATGGTCATCCATCTGACTGTATTCAGTACTGTTTCAGCTGTTCGTAAGGTGACTCCTCAGTGGTCGTAGAAAACAATAACACAATATTGTTTATCACTATTTCTATTGTTTCACGGTGAGAGCTGCAAACCAATTGGCTTTTCGGGTTATTATAAGGTTACAAAAGAGTGATCAGTATTTGTAGCAGTGTTTCTAAGAGACTACCGTCAAGCAAGCTCTCCATTTCGACAATATCTCCCCAAAATGGAAAGCTTGCTCGCAGGCTAACTGTTGTTTTATTCAATAGACGAGCGGAAATGTCTGGAATAGATTTTAAACGGTTCAGCACCTAAAGTTACCCTTAACACTCATAATTTGCAAGGTCATTATATGAGTAAATAGTCCTTTATTTCAGTTTTTGTGTACTTATTGAGAACCGCTTTATCGTTTACAAGTGAACAGGACCAATCAATTACTTATAAACCGTTGGATATCGAAATGATATGATATCTTATGAACTTTATGGAAATGTAAAGAGAATGTCAAAGTTGACAATAACAATGCATCCTCCTTTTAAGAACAAATGATGGCGATCTTTAATGTTGACCAGTGGAAAAAATAAATTGTTTCAAGGTCACGTACATTATAATCGTCTTGTGCTGCAGTCAGAACCACAGACAACCCAAGCTCTGCGAGTTCTGCGCAAGCTTCCAATAAAGTAATTTGAAAGTCACATTAATTAACTCTACTACATAGTCGAAGGTTTCTTAACGCATAGTCTCGTAAGCGTACAGCCCCATGCTCTCCGCCGCCTTGAAAATATCCCAGAAGGCAAAACGTGGTCAGTTTTCTGAGTTTTAATTGGCCACCCGAACGGCAAGATAGGCTCATCTAAAATTTTAATGGAATGTTTGTTATAAGGGGTCTCAATGGGGTTAAAACTCAGCCCGCAAAACAGCCACAAAATTAATTGTAAGCCGTAAGAAATTGAAATTTTTCACCGTTAGCACCCGTTAGTCATAAAACGGGAGAGTGACCATATGTCCGGCTCCATGTCGTTTCTTAGAACGTCGGGCGTGTCTTGTCTTTGTGTCTGTTGGACTGCGTTTCAGCCACTTGTCCTTAGGGGCCCAAACCGATAGAAGCTTTTCAAAGTTTTCAACATTATCTATTTTTTTTCTTTCTCAGAGTTTCTGATTACCGTAATGGAGAGAAATTTAACGTTAGCCATAAAAATTATTGGAGAAAAAACGGTCATTGTAGGAATATTAATTATTTTTTTGTGAAGACTTTTTTACTCACAAAAAATTGGTTTTTGTGCGTGCAGAAAGTTCTAGAAAGAATTCGCGAATCAACGTACGCACTGCGCACTTTGCTTGTCTCTTGAAGGTGGGCCATTTACCTTTTCTGGGGATAGGGGGTGAGTGGATTTAGTGATTCATCTTGTCAGTTTGAGCTACAAATTTTTCCCTGGGCCGTGTTCGGAGTTTTTAATGCTCCCCCCTTTTGGAGTAAATATGAAACTATTGACGCGATGCAATGCCTTTTTGTCCTCTGAATCACATCATGATCAAAGTTTCTTAGGTTTATGTGAGCATATTTCGTAAAGAATGTAAAGCGAGTGTTACTGGAAACATTTTTCTTTTCAGAAATCACTCAAGCCTTCAAAACCTTCTACCTTTAACAAATAATGTTTAAGGTTACTGACTGAAGCCTTGTATTTCACAATGTTTGAATTCATAGTTTTGGCTTTCTTTTTAGCTTCGTTTCCACGTGCAGTTGTATAGCCAATCAGAAAACACTTTCCTGATAACGAGGTCGCTTCGCGGCGCCACGTTTAAATGCAAAATTGAAAATTATTCAACAGCGAGCGAAGGAAGACATGAAAGTAGGACTTATTGCGAACAGTTTTTGCACTCCTAATACAGCCGATATTGCTTTTCGCAAAGCGGTTTATCTCGCCGTCTGTGCAAACTTATCTGCGAAAAACTGTGGGCCGCAACAACGCGGTAAACTGCATTTGAAGAGACTGACATAAACAAACTGAGTGGTAGGTAAATGTTACTTTTGCATCATTTGTTATTTTAACCTGAAGTACAAGGCTTAATTTGTCGTTGCATGAATTGTCGTGCTTTAAAAGATTTGTACAATATATTGATAATTATCTTTCGGTCTCGCGCAGAAATTGCCGGAGGAAACAAACAGAAAACAAACACAAGAAATCCAGTTTGGTGAATCCATGAGTTTATCTACTGAACGTGGACGACGCAATGGCAATAACAAACAACTTACAGCGTTTACATGGATATCTAAGAGGTAAGGTCATCTCTTCTACTAGTAATGTATAATAATCTGAAAAAATGAATTTTTCTTTTTTTTGGCTACTCATTCGAAGCCTTTATCGTATTTGCATGTTACAACAGTATCTCAGATAATGTTACAAATTAATAGACTTTCAATTGGTTGACTTCGCAAAATGAGGCAACAAGATTTATGAATACCTAGTACTAGTGAATGAACAGCAGAAGTCAGTGTTATTCAAGAATAGCAAATTTCGGCTCGTTTTAGTATTTATCTCATGATTTATCCAAATGCCTCGCTGTTACTTGATGTGAATAACTCATAACTGAGGGTCTCAATGGGGTTAACCGATAGGGGTAAAACGGCCAAAAATTTAGCCGATAGCCGTAAAAATTGAAAAAATTTAACCGTTAGCCGTAAATAGGGTAAAAAAGAGTTAACCGTAAAAGATAGTGTTCCTTAGATTTGCTACTTTTAAGGAAGGTACTAAACTCACTTATGGTTGTGTTTTTTATTTCCCGACTAGTGTGACTCCGTACGCACGTAAGGCGAAGCGCCCTTCAGGCGTTAACCAAGACCTAGGCTCCATTTCCGGCGCTCTATCGGGGAACTAATTTTTTTTCCATAGCGGAAGTGTGGCTTCTTGCTGGGG